GCCTCCCTCCTTTTTTCCACCTGTTTCTCTTACTCCCATCCCGACCCCCATACTAACCTTCCTTCTATAATTCCCAGCCTAATTGACAGCAACCGAAGTGCCACTGGAGTAGAACCACCTGCAGCCAACTTTGCACAACACCCATCGGACGCCTACCGGCAATAGTCCCTTATAAGGCCACGCTGTCCAGTTTCCATTGCGGCATTCAAGGTGCGCACTATAAGACAAATAGGTAAATAGGCTGCACTCTCACGTATCTTGGACACACTGGGTATTGATGTGCGTTGTGTGTCCGAAACTAGGAGCAATGACGCTAATGGGGTTGTTGAAGTAACTGCACCCGACTTATCCTCTCGTTATTGGTTGCACGCATCCGGAGACGCCGATGCAGCACCCACGGGTTAAGCTGATGTAGGTATCATTCTAAGCTCCAACGCTGTGCCAGCGCTGGTTGATTGGATGCCGGTGAACAGCCGTTTATGTGTAGCCCGTTTGGCGACATCCGCAAAGGTTGATTCACGAAGTAGTACAAAACGCTGTTTGTTTGTGATTTCAGCTTATGCTAACACCGTGGGCAGTTCAAATGCTGCTGCTATCACGAACTGAACGCCCTAATACGCAGTGCAACTAGTTCAGATATTATAGTACTTGCAGGGGATATGAAGGCACAAGTAGGGCGTCTGAGCTCTTCAGAAGCTCAGCTAGGTGGTTAATGTGGGCTTAACTCCGAACGGACTGACAACGGTGAGCGTCTGCTGCAAATGTGTGCGGAGCACCGGTTGTTTTGAGTAACACTGCTTTTAGACACAGCAGGCACCGAAGCGCCACTTGGCATCCTCCTGTAGCTGGCCAGCGATGGACCCAAATTGATCACATTGCCATAAGTTACAGGTGACGTGGTTCCATCCTGGATTGCCGCTCGTACTGAAATACCTGCGTCGACTCTGACCGTGCTTTGGGACGCTGTCGTTTCCCCATGAACTTTACCGGAAGGTGCACCAAGCGTCTCATTCGACTGGCAACTGAGAAATTGTCTCCGTCCTTGGTCAGACAAGCCTATCAAGAAGCACTGCGTACTGAACTTTCGCTGTCTTGTCCTAATGACACTGCGCTTCAGTGGAATAGGATCTCGGCCGCCATGCACGACGCAGGAGCATCTGCGTGTGGCACTATCAATCGTCACCGCACCAGTCACTGGATATCAGAGAGGTCGGTGAACCTGTTGAAATCCAGAAAATCTCCCGGCTAGCTCTGAGCCGTCAAAAGGGCTATTAGGGGTGAACTAAAGCAGAGCCTACGTGTTGACAAGAAAGCCTGGTGGACCAGTAGGGCTCAAGAAATGGGAGGCAGGAGCAGTATGTAATTACTACAAGCTCTGCCAGCTGATCCGCATCACTGGTCCCAGAAAACCAGGCGTCAGTGAGACAATCAGAGACAGTGCGGGTGCAATGATACACAATAAGGAGCGCCGTATGGCTCGTTGGACGGAACAATTTTAAGATCAGTTCACCTGGCCCCCTGCTCCCGGACGACTTCCTAAGCAGGAGATACAGGACAAGCCATGGACAGATAATTTAGTGCCTCCGTCGGAGGCCGAATTCCGAAACGCGATCACAGCCCTCAATCGTTTTCATGCCGCTGGCCCGGATTCTCTCCCACTTGCAGTATTCAAAGATGGAGGTGAGGTTCTATGCAAAGCACTGACCTCCTTACTCGAACGTATTTGGAAGGAAGAGGGTGTCCCGGCTAATTGGACCGAATCGAATATAGTGGAAATATACAATAACGGCAGTCGAACTGACCGTCCTAACCACAGGGGTAGTAGCCTAACGCTAGTTGTGACAAAACAACTGACCTCGATTCTCGTCCGTCGCCTCACTGCAGAACAAGAATCTCGGATTAGCGAAGAGCAGGCAGGTATCCGCCCAGGACGTGGTTGTATAGACCATATATTTAGTCTGCAGCAGGTGTTAGAGCAGTGCCACGCATACCGAAGACCGACAATAGCTGTGTTCCTCGATTTCATGAGTGCGTTCGATTCAGTCGATCGATCGATTCGGTTCGAAATACTTGCGCGGAAAGGTGTTCCCACGAAATATGTGAAAATCCTTCGTGTTCTATACTCTAACACTACAGACCGCATCAGGGTCTACGGTGACCTGTCAGATAGCTTTCCGACCACAAGTGACGTTCGCCAAGGTTGTCCAAATGCCTTATTTTTGTTCGATTTCGTTGTGGACTATCATGGAGTGTTCCCTTGCGGAATCTCATGACGTAAACGTTGAAGTTCTGCTTGGTGTAAGGTTAGTTGATCATGAGTATGCGGACGATATTGTCTTGCTTTTTGACGATGTTGCGACGGAACAATAAACCCTGAATAGCCTGTCTAGCGGTCCCGTTAGTTTGTGTGCGCTTCGCACCTTCAAAGTGCAAAGTGTCGCTGCAACACCACCAGCCACTTGATGACCCCTTGCTAACGAGGAACTCGAGGTGGTTGATCAATTCACTTATCTTGGCAGCTGCATCAGCAACGATGGGTGCATAGAAACTGAAGTCAGTTCACGCATTACAAAAGCCAGAGCTGCCTTTTTGAACCTTCGGCATCTTTGGCTACAGGAAGGAGTTTCGCTCCGTCTGGAAGGCCGTGTATACAAGGCCACAGTGAGGGCCGTTCTGCTGTATGTCAGTGAGACTTGGCCCCTTCGCTCTGAAGATCTGAGGTGCCTTCAACTCTTTGGTCATTGTTGTCTGCGACGCATTTTTGGTGTTGGATGGCATCAGCGTGTCCGCAACGATGGTGTGCGTGGGCGAGTAATAGGTAGTGATAATTATGCTAGGTCCCTAGAACAACAGATAGCACTGAATAAGTTGTGTTAGCTTGGGCACGTGCTACGTATGCCTGGTCACCGTTTACCTAGTAGGGCTTTGTTTAGTCTGCCAGATGTAGGATGGCGCAAAGCTGGAGGTGATTTGGCAGCGAGAAATGAAGTCACTGATGACCAAACTTGATGCCGTTGATCCGTCGCGTCTTCCGGGCTGGAGTCCACGTGATTCACCTTGTGCTTAGCTCGAGACTTTACAGGACATGGCTCGCAACCGACACCAGTGGCGCGTCTGCTGCCGTCTCCTAGTCGGACTGCCTGTTTAACGTGTTTCTGCTGTTATCTGCGGGGTAATGGCTGGTTATGACGCGGGTCAGTGAAAGCCTCAAGGAAGCTGTCTCGCCAATGCGGCCTTATCTTTGCACGATAGCCAGCTGTTTGTGACGGTATCTTGTCTACGTAAGGTGTAGACGCCTTGACCCTGAATGTTTGCTTAGGGCATCAAGGTTTTCAGTTAAGTCCCCCTTCTCTCCCTCTTCTTATTTTTTATTTCATAGGTCCTCATGGTTGTATGACTGCGAAGCATCAGTTCAAATGGCTGATTGATGTTTGATTGATGGAGACAGTGAGAATAACGCCAATGAATCAAACAAGGCCATTATCTCCAGTTCACCCACTCTATTGCTGTCAGCAGCAGCAACCTTACAAAAAAGCAGAACGTAGGCTTGGAGCATCGCTAACATGCTGAAATAAACTGTAAGACAAAATACCACCAATAAGAAAGAAATGGTACACAGGGAGACTTGATGTAGGGCACAACTATCCCAAATGGTGTACTGTGAGGCTGCCCAGACGTGTACCACCAGTGGATGGTGGACACTTCCATCAGTACAGTTCAGTTGAACAATTGTGATCCGGGCACCAGAGTGCGGTGGATCCAGTTACCACGACTTAGGTCACAAGGAACACAGTAGACAGCAAAGGTGATAAAACTGAGGGGAACATAAAAAATATAGTTAAGAAAATAGCAAAATATTCCGGAGGGAGCGTGGACAGATGAATGAAAGAAACTGAATACAAGAGTGTCAGTGACTGCTCAACTGCGCCGTGGTAGACAGTTTCCAACCATCGATGTGGCTCATAAACGAAAGTGGCACGCACCAGTCAGACCAACTCTCGCAGTCAATTTCTTCAAACCTTTATAGCAAGTCGCCGACTGGCCACCGTGTGATTTCGCCCAAATTGGTATAACGCAGCGTTTAGTGCACGACGAGGAAGCTGGTCAATGGGCATACGTCTTCATTACCGTAGTTACCCTACTACTTCCTTATATACTATATTTATATTTACTCCACTATTCGCCATGACTGGGTAGATCTGAGGTAATGGATTGAACCTACCAATCTAATAAGGTACCCATGGAAGCCAAAACGCCATAGACTCCATGGCAAGTAATAAAAGTGTTTGACTCAAAAGACCGATTGATAGTACGGGCTAGATGGCTTGAGTGTCCATATATAGACACATAAAAAGAGCCCTAATAATGAGTAAAATTGGTGATGGCTATCCTGCTTTAAACCTAGACCAGAACACGACTATATGAAATATGGAAATGCGGGTGAAACCTTTCGAGGGGCTGGCCCGCATGGAAGCGGGTTCCCTGGAGACGAATCCATGGTTGGCCTTATAACTTTATTAGAACATTTGGATTTACTTGCATTTATTATTATTAGTAGTAGTATTGGTATTTTTATTATTATTAGCAACCTCTCTAAATATTTGAAAGATCTAACCGATGAAGTAACTCCGCAAAATAGTTTGGAAACTGCTCTGAAAAAGCAAATCGAAGAACTATCATCCGTCCCAAGCGATCCCATTATATATAATGACCAGACCAATCAACTGGAATGTGGCTCGCACCGTCGAGGAATATACCCTTTACTTATTATTTATTTGTTTACATAATGATACAGAGCCATGCGAATAAGTTTGTTCTAAGCTTTAGACAATAAAAGAGATAATTAAGTATTTCCCTTTGTCAACATTCGAATGACCAGTAGTAGAATGAACTTGGCATCTTGTCTCAATTAGCGCCGCAAATGCCCGAAGCAAAGTAAATACATCGAATAACGTCTTATCGTGACCAGTAACTATTCAGTAAGACTGACTGAAACTCACCCCTTTCCAAATCGATCTGCAACAGCGCGACGCTGAAATTCGAGATACCTATTTGAGAAAAAAGAGGGTCATTTAGCGACCGGGTTCTGAGAAGGAAACGAGTGCATGCATGACTACGGTACGTGTCCATAATCAAATCGCAAGAACTATGGATAGATGATGCTTCCAAATGAGCACAGATGGAGTGAGTGCGAATGGAACCAGTTGCTAAGCCAGAAGGTGGAGTAGCTACGCTGATGCCTTAGTACAATCAGGGAATGTTACAGAAGTCATCCAAAAATCGAACGACTATATGGAAGCAGAAACCAATAAAATGAAGGTAATTGCAATGAAGCTTACTAAAATAAATTAATGGCGCGGAGTACACACATGACTGGGGTGAAAAATAAGGCTTCTGAAAGTACGTGGGGTAAGAAGCCTGCCGGGTGCATGTCTCTCTCAAGCTGGCAATGCGACAATTGTAGCATCGCTAAGATTCGGTGGCACGAAGAAAATGTCCCATTAACCATGGTGGAATAATCGAAGTGCATCTTATCTGTTTATAGTGCCACGAGAGAACCTCTGAAGACAGCAAATCACTTAAGGTTCACTCGTAGGTAGTCAAGTAGACTAGCGTATATTACACACATCAAAGTGTATTGAAAATATGCCCAGACGTCAATGTCGAGATGGGCCAGTCGTCATAATTAGACCAGACAGCCAATAGCACACTAACCATCCTGGCATATCTACACTACTCTTATCAAGCGCGGCCCAAAAACTCTGTTCGTGACCGTCATATGCATATATGTACTAGCAACTGTCTATATATGAGACTGTCAAAAAGCAAAACATCGTCGAGAAAGTTTGGTAAACCAATTTTCAACTAGTTGGCGTTTCAATGCCATTCCGTGATCATCATCATCATCAACAGCAGTACATCAGTCATTTGAACTGATGCTTCGCTGCCACACGACCATGAGGACCTATGAAATAAAAAATAAGAAGAGGGAGAAAAGGAGGACTGACCTAAAAACCTTAATGCCCTAAGCAAACATTCTGGGTCAAGGCGCCTACACCTTGTGTACACAACACACCGTCACAAACAGCTGGCTATCGTGCAAAGATAAGGCGGCATCGGCGAGACAGCTTCCTTGAGGCTTTCACTGACCCGCATCACAATCAGCCATTACCCCGCAGATAACTCAGCACCAAACACACTTTAAACAGGCAATCCGATTAGGAGACGGCAGCAGACGCGCCACTGGTGTCGGTTGCGAGTCATGTCCTGCAAAGTCTCGAGCTAAACACAAGGCGAGTCACGTGGACTCCAACCCGGAAGGCGAGACGGACCAACGGCACCCAGTTTGGTTGTCAGTGACTTCATTTCCCGCTGCCAAGTCAACTTCTGTCCACCTCCAGCTTTGCGCCATCCTACATCTGGCAGACTAAACAAGGCCCTACTAGGTAAACGGTGACCAGGCATGCGTAGCACGTGCCCGAGCCAACGCAACTTATTCAGTGCTATCTGTTGTTCTAGGGACCTAGCATAATTATCACTACCTAGTACTCGCTTACGCACATCATCGTTGCGGACACGCTGGTGCCATTCGACATCAGCAATGTTTCGCAGATAACAATGATCAAAGACTTGAAGGCGCCTCAGATCTTCAGACCGAAGGGGCCAAGTCTCACTGACATACAGCAGAACGGCCCTCACTGTGGCCTTGTATACACGGCCTTCCAGACGGAGGGAAACTCCTTCCTGTAGCCAAAGATGCCGAAGGTTCAAAAAGGCAGCTCTGGCTTTTGTAATGCGTGAACTGACTTCAGTTTCTATGCACCCATCGTTGCTGATGCAGCTGCCAAGATAAGTGAATTGATCAACCACCTCGAGTTCCTCGTTAGCAAGGGGTCATCAAGTGGCTGGTGGTGTTGCAGCGACACTTTGCACTTTGAAGGTGCGAAGCGTACACAAACTAACGGGACCACTAGAGAGGCTATTCAGGCTTTATCGTGCCGTCGCAACATCGTCTAAAAACAAGACGATATCGTCTGCATACTCATGATCAACTAAGCTTTCATCGAGCAGGACCTTAACGTCTACGTCATGAGATTCCACAAGGGAACACTCCATGATAGAATCCACGACGAAATTGAACAAAAAGGGGGAAATCGGACAACCCTGACGAACGCCACTTGTGATCGGAAAGCTATCCGATAGGACACCACAGACCGACTCGGCCTGTAGTGATCGAGTATAGAGCACGAAGGATGTTCACATATTTCGTGGGAACACCTTTCCGCGCAAGTATTTCGAACAGAATCGATCGATCGAAA